TATTTTTTTATTTTATTTTTACTATAAAATTTTTAATTATTTTTAAAATATTTATTAATATATATAATTTTTTTCCTATAATTTTTTTATAATCTTTAATCAAAAAATTTTAAAAATTAAAAAATAGTTTTATTATAATAAATTTAAAATTAATATATTTTAAAAAATTTTTAACTTAAAGTTATTAAGAGAAATACTTTTATAGATTAATATAAATAGCTTTATAAAATATTAAATCAATTTTTATATAATTAAAAGTAAACTTTTAAATAAAAAATATTCAAATTTATAATTAAAAATTTATTTTAATATTTTATATTATATTATTATATTTATTAATATTATAAATTAATAGTTTAGTATAATATATTTTATATTTCATATTATAAATTTTATTATTATAAAATTATTTTAAGTTTTTAAAGTTTCTAGTATTATTATTATATAAAAATATATTTAAAAAATAATATTAATTATATACTAATATAAAATTATATTAAAATTAATTTTAAAAACTATTAAAATAATTAGATTTAAAATATTTATTTAAATATTATATATGATTATAATTATAAATTATCTATAAAATATAAAAATTATAATAAATAGAAAATTATATTAATAAATAATAATTTATTTTTGAAAGAGTTTTAGTTCAATTATAATATATTCTTTTAAAATATTTATATAAAATATAAAATTATATTATTATTATTATTATTATAATTATAATGTATTAAAAATATATTTAGTTAGTAACTATAATATCTATTTAGTTAAATTAAAATTTAATTATTTTATTAATTTAATTATTAAATATCACTTAAATTATATAATTTAAAAGTTTTATTTTAAGATAATATAATATTAATAAAATTTATAATAAAAGATAAGTTTATATAATTATAATTCTCATTAAAATAAAAATAAAATTAATTAATATTTTATTAATTAAAATAATAAAATAAATAAAAAATTAATATAATAATATTGAATAAATAAAATATTTAAAAAATAAAATAATATTTTAAGTTCAATATTTATAATTTATATATATTAAATATTAAATTTATTTAAATTTAAAATTTATTCTCTAGTGATAATTTTTATTTTCTTTTTAATATTATTATTTAATAAGTAATTTATTAATATATAATTTAAATTGTTAATTAAATTATAGAAATTATATCTACTAAAATTTAAAATAGTCATATTTAAGTTTTAATTTTATTTTATATTTTATATATAAGTACTTTTCTTCTCTTTTTTTACAGCTTTATTCATTAATCAAAATATAATATTTTAAATTACTTTCTAAGTTTTAGTTTCAATTTTTATTGTTAAATCTGCTTTTTTATTTCTTAAGATTTCTATATAAGTAGATATTTAAAATAAATAAATTTGAATATATTTTTATTTTTAAATTTAATTTTTTTTACTATTCTTTAAATTAATTTAAAATTTATATAATTATTTTAAATTTTAAATTTTTAAAATTTTTTTAATACTGTTGCAGTATAGCTACTTATATATAAATTAAGATTGATTTACTCTACTATACTTTAAAGATTAATTTAATCTGATTTTTAATCATTTCTATATATTTAATTGCTCATTTATTTCACATTTTAATTCTTAGTTTAGTATTCTCATTGCAGCTGTCTAGTTAGATAGATGAATTGAAGCTATTATCTTATTATCATTCTGACTCTAGTTGAGCTATGATAGATACTACTTGACTATTTGAAAATATTCAAATATTTTAATATTTGATTATTAAAAAATAATTTTATTAATTATTATAAAAGTTTTCTGAATTATAAGTAACTCAATATTCAAAATTTTATGTTTATTTTCTAAGTTTTATAAAAATATTTTATATTTTAAATTTATTTTAAAATATATTAATGCTATATCAGCTTCTAACTATTTTTGTTTTCTTTTTAAATTATTTGAATATATCAATAAACAGTTCTTCTTATTAATTTCTAGAAGTTTTTAAATATATAAAATTTTTAATTAAGAAAATAATATCTTTTTTAAATTTTTGAAGTATTTATTTCAATTTAAAAATTTTTCTCTATTTAAAATTTTTTAAAATATATTTAAAAAATATAATATAAATACTTCTATATAAATTAAATAATTTATAATTATTTTTATAATTTTCAAAGTATACTTTATATAGATATTATTAAATTAAATAGCTGATGATGAAACTAAAGTCTTTATTTATAATTTTAATAGAAGATATTTTAATTTTTTTTAAAATTCTTCTTAAAACTTTATTTATAATAAAATAAATTTATATAATTCTTTACTTTTTTCATAAAATCTGTATTATATAATTTGATACAAAAGTTATAAAAATTATATATAATTATCTCATAACTTAAAAAAATAAATATTTTTCTATATTAAAAAGTTAAATAATATTATTTAAAATTCTCTCAGCCTAAGCTATTCTTTCATGAATATAAATTTTAAAGTTAAACTTTAAATCTAATCAAACTCTTATTTATTTCGCAGAAGTTTTTAATTTTATAATTTTATTTTAAAGAGTGATAGTTGTATTATTTATTTTTTTAAAATAAAAATAAATTAATTTAGTTTTATTCATGTCAAATTAATTAAAATTTTTATTTTTTTTTTAAAAAAATTTTCTATATAGCTCTTATTATATTATTATAGTTTTTTATATAAATTTAAAACTAATGATAAAATCAATAATATTAATAATATTGAGAGTTTTTATTATATATATATTTTTATTTTTAAATAAATTGACTATATATATAATAAATAAAATAATTGACTAAAGATTTTTGAGAAATTTTTATTTCAATAAAGATATTCTGTTATTTTATTATATTAAAAAATAGTTTTTAGAAAGAAGCTAAATATTCTTTTTGTTATAAAATAAATAATTTATTTTATTATAAACTATAACAATTTTAGATCTTGCAGAATTGAAATTATTTTATTTCTTAAAATATGATTAAAAGTATTTTTTATATCATTAAAAATAGTAGTTAAATTTAAGCTATCATTTCTAGTTATTTAAGTATTATAAATCTCTGATAAAACTGCATTTGTTAGACTCAGCGCCTGGGATAGGTTTACCTCCATCACGTGACCATGCCCCACATGTAACCTAGCGGATTGGTTGTGATCTGATCTCATGATGATGTGAGCTGTTTATAATCTGAGCAGATTCTGACATCTCTTTTTCCTCACCAACCTTAGTATTTCATTACATAGCAGTTAGCAACGCAGAGAGTTTCCTTCTTATGCAGCTGGCATTCACTTCCTAACAGCATTTATAGTTGAATTTTATTTTTTACTATTTATTTAATCTAATAATTATATAGTAGATTAGTAATTGTTAGGCTCAGCGTCCGACCGAAGGCCGGTGCCCGGTTAGACTCGACGTCGGATTAAGCTCGGCGCCCGATTAGGCCTAACCCACATCACGTGACCATGCGACCATGCGGGTCGCTCGATTAGGCCTAATCCATATCACGTGACCACATGACCATGCAGGTGGTTATAATCCACGCAGGCCCCCAGCACCCCCTTTCATCCCATCAAGCTTAGTATTTCATTATATAGCAGTTAGCAACACAGAGAGTCTTTCTTCTTATGCAGCTCACATTCACTCTCTAACACAATACTAAGCTTCCCTTCTACCTTCTCACTCAGGTTTCAGCAGAAAACTTGAGTGTCTCAGTTGAATTAGAACCTGCTAGTTCAGAGCCTGACAATGTGTCAGATCAACTGCTAAGACAACAGCACTGTTGAAGACAACAGCTCAATCCAACATCAGATGGTCACCACAGGCTCCCAACCTCCTGGAAGGGGCTGAAAGGACTGATGATACCTTCTAACAAGATCAACTGATTAATCATGCATCTCAATTGAGGAATTCAGAGAGGCAATTCATTCAGACAGTGACTGTGTTTATAATGAGTTGACAGCAATCTTCAATGACATCTTTGACAATGAAAAAACATTAAGGGATACAGTCATATGTCTGAGAATGAAATGAGACAACACTACTAATCAGGCTGCTGTCAAACAAAGTCAGATTGATGAGCTAATTGCTGAATGTGATGAACTTAGTCACATTCTAATCTGCATGACAGTCAGCAATCAAGCAGCAAGTTGAGATGTCACCTCCTCTGAGACTGCCAGGAGATCTGTCAAGATTGATGATATGAAACATCTTACTGACAGCAAGGAGCTGAAATTTGAACACTGACTCTTCTGGATGAAGAACAAGCTCTAAGAGAATGCCAATCACTACTCTACTGAACACATGAGAATAGCATACATTGAAAACTGAACTGATGAGGATGCAGCACATCACATTGCACCCTGTATGAAAGAGAACCACCTCAAGTGATATCAAATCACAGAAGAGATGTTTGAGCATCTCAAGTCAATATATGAGAATGCTAACAAGCTGCAAAATGTCAAGAGTGATTATCACAAGCTGATTATGTGCAATGAGAATAATTATCATGAATTTGTCACAAAATTTTTACACTTGACAGGGGAGGTCAAGATTGTCAGAGGGGACTACAAGACAGACTTCAATGACAAGCTGTCCTTTGACCTTCAGAAGATGATAGTAGTAGTCAATGTGATCACTGATACATATGCTGAGTTTCAGAAAATCTGTGTGCAGGCAGCTCACATTCTTCAGACAATCAATGTCACTTAGAAATCAAAGAGCTCATGAGAAAATGAGTCTAATATCTTCAAGCAGAACACCCTGCAGACTGTCAACAGTCAAACATCTTTCAGCATCTCTACAACAAAATCTTCTACTGTGAAGGAGGCTTTGAGCTCTCATCTGGATATTCAGTGCTACTACTGTAAGAAAAAAGATCACATTGTCAGGAACTGCTCTGCAAAGCAGAAGTCCCAGCAGGTGATTGCTGAGCTCACAGAAAATGATGTCCCTGAGTCTTCAGCAGACTCAGGAAAAGAGTGAGTCTGAGAGAAGACTTCACCTCAGATAGTTCAATAGTCTGTGAGAGGTTTGAGATGAAGGACTTGATTGAGGGGAAAAGCTTTAATGTATCAATCAAATTAGTCTACAATGAAATTGCTACTTCTACAAATTCTCTTGCTGATACTAAAGCAAATGAAGTGAATTTTATTGATATCTGATATGTCATAGAATTGGCAAGATTCTTTGATAGAAAGTTTCAAGAACTCTCATTCAAATGCTGCATGAAGAGATACAATGGCATCCCCAGTGGGGTGATAGACTACACATTGACTCTAAACCTCTGGATGAATGACTGGAGATTTCAGAATGTCCCTCTGCTGATAACAGACCTAGGCCAGCACTCTGTCATCCTGAGACAGAAGTGATTGACAGCACAGAATATATGACTTGATGTTAAAAATCAACATCTGATTTGACTGAGTGAACAGTCTATCTCTGAATAGATGATGAAGCTGATGTTGAAGATAGTATTCTAATCAGTACTGAAGCATCCAGACCTCAAGCCTGAGCATCAGATGAATGTGGAACAAAGAGAAATCAAGCTGAATGAGAAGATCAGACAGAAGCATCAGACTCAGCTCTGTAGATTGAAAGGGACCAGCTCAGTTGTGATGCCTGAGATGAGGCAGAGACTGACCTGGAAGGAGACAGTACCACAGATGATGAATATGAACTTCATTGAGGCTGCTTCCTTTCATGATTATATGAAGAACAAGAAGTCAACAGTCTTCATAATCAGTCTGTATGAAATTGATAAACAGCTTGAGGAGAAGTGAGGTTTAGTGAGAGCTGAGAATGAGTCTGATGAGGAGCTGATCAGCAACTTATCAGAATGATTGAAAGGCCAGGAGAACTGCTTCTCAAAGAAAGCATCAGATGAACTGCCCCCTCTACAGAAGAATGTTAATTTTAAAATAGAGCTCCAGCCTGATGTTGACCTCACCCAGGGCATTGGACATGCACCTCTATATAAGATAAATCTAGAGAAACTAGAGGCAGTGAAGACCTATCTTGAAGTCAATCTAGCAAAGAGTTTCATCATCTCAAGTTCAGTCTTCTACACCTTCTCAATTCTGATTGCCTGTAGTGGGAAGAAGCTATGATTCTGTGTTGACTTTCACAAGCTGAATGCTATAATCAAATGAGATCAGTATCTCTTGCCTCTGATAGATGAGCTGATGGACCAACTCAATGAGACAAAATACTTTACAAAGTTGGATATTCAGCAGAGGTTCCATCACATCTGAATGGACTCTGAGTCTGAGGATCTGATCACCATTAGAACCTGCTATGAGATCTATAAATATTGAGTGATCCTCTTTGATCTTACAAATGCCCCTGCCTGCTTTCAATGATTTGTTAACAGTATCTTCTTTGACTACCTGGACAAGTTTATGACAGCATTCATGGATGATCTTCTAATCTATAGCAAGAATCTGGAGGAGCACAAGCAGCAGGTAAACTCAGTGCTAGACTAACTAAAGACAGTGAGTTTGCAAGCCAGCATTCAGAAATGTGAGTTTGCAGTCCAGAGGACAAAATACCTAGGGTTCATCATCAGTACAGAAGGAATTGAGGCAGATTCAGAGAAGACAGCTGCCATTGTGAGATGACAGGCTCTTATCACAGTCAAAGAAGTTCAGTCATTTCTAGGATTTGGCAATTTCTACTGACAATTCATAAGGAACTACAGCTGAATTGCAAAGCTGCTGTATCAATTGACAAAGAAGACTACTTCATTTGTGTGAACATCAGAATGCAAATCAGTCTTTGAAAAACTGATGAGGCAGCTGATGGAGACTCCAACACTGCATTACTATGACTCTGAGCAGGAGACTCATATTGAGACTGACATCTCTGATGGAGTAGTGACTGGGGTACTAAGTCAAAGATTTGAAAATGATCTTTGGCACTCAGTAGTCTTCTATTCAAAGACAATGAATGATGCAGAGCTTAATTATGAAGTTCTTGATAAGAAAATGCTGACAGTAGTCCAGGTCTTACAAGAATGATGAGCAGAGCTTGAGAGACTACAACAGGAGGAACAATTCAAGATCCTCACTGATCATCACACACTGGAATACTTCATGACTATCAAGAAGCTGAATACATGTCAAGCCTGCTGGGCAGAGTTCCTCTCCTGTTTCTACTTTGAGATCAAGTATTGATCAGGCAAGGCCAACCTGCTAGCAGATGCACTGAGCAGGCCTGAGCAGGTTAGAAGACAACAGAACAGCTGTATGCAGATTCTCCTAGAATCAGAGACTCTCAACTCTCAGATCACTCTCTTTACAGACATTGCTAGCATCAACTTCTCAGAGAAAGAGAGCATTGCTGAATGCATAGTGTCTCTAAACAAGACAGTCATCTCAATTGAGCTCCTGCAGCAGCAGGCAGATGATGAGAATAATTCTTATACAATGAAGAACAATGTGCTACAGTACAATAAAAGACTAGTGATGTCTGTTCAGAAAAAGGAAACTCTGATAGTCAAGCTACTGCAGAAAATTCATGATCAAGCTTCAACAGCACACTCTGAAGAATGAAAGACTCTGACCCTGATGCAATCACACTATTGATGAGTCACCTGGTGAACAAATGTTCTACACTATATTCAGAACTGCCATGTATGTCAGATCAGTAAAATTTCAAGAGATAAGACTTCTGGTTTGCTAAAGTCATTATCAATACTAGAACAGATATGGCAGCATATTGCAATGGACTTCATGAACATGTCAAAAAGCAAAACAGGTTATAATATCATTTTGATCATAGTATGCTGGCTAAGCAAGAAGACAATCTTCATTTCAATCATTCAGAGAGTTACAGCCCAGGAGCTGACCTGACTATTCATTCAATTCTACTATTCATACAATGGGGTGTCTGACTCAATTGTCTCTGACCAAGGCCCCCAGTTCATATCAAGCTTTTGAGATGAGTTTACACAGATTCTGGACATAAAACTGAAACTCTCAATGATGCATCATGCACAAACTGATGAACAGACAGAAGTGATGAATCAATACATTGCCACTCATCTTCACCTCTATGTCAGTTACTACCAAGATGACTGAGATGAGTGACTGCTCATTATAGATCATGCCTCCACAGCTACTTCAAACACTTTCACAGGGATCTCCTTCTTCCTCACAGCAAATGAATATGAACCTCAAATGTCATTTGACTGACAATTACTGGTGGAGAAATTGAACATGAATGAGAAAAGAAATTGAGAAGCAGCAAGGAGCTTCATTCACTGAATGAGAGAGATCTGAAATCAGATGAGTAAAGACATAAAGACAGCACAGAAACAGATGAAGAGGCAGACTGACAAGCATCATCAAGAGCCTGACTTTGCAGTAGAAGATTTTGTTTATCTAACATTGAAATCATACAAGATGAATTGATCAAGCTGTAAACTGACAGAGCAGAATGCCAGCCCCTTCAGAATCCTGAAAAAGATGGACAATGCCTACAAACTGGACCTTCTCATAACAATAAAGATTCATTCAATCTTCTCTCTAGACAAGCTATGCAAGGACTCCAGAGACTCTCTACCTGGCCAGACTATCAGACCACCAGACCCAATTGAAATAGATGATGAGAATGAATGGGAAATAGATTGTATACTGGCCAGTAGAATAAGCTGGAGCAAGCTGCAGTATCAGATGCACTGGAAGGGGTTTGATGAGGATTCTTTATGATACCCCACTCACAACTTCAAAGGATCATCACACACCATATGTGACTTCCATGAGGCTAATCCTACAAAAGCTGGACTCTCAAGGTGACTAGATGAGTGGCTGAAGGCATGGGAGACAGACAGCTACCTGAAGGATGAGGTTGATGACAACCTACCGGCATGAGGACATGCCTGCCCCTAGACCGGGGGGTGATGTTAGGCTCAGCGTCCGACCGAAGGCCGGTGCCCAGTTAGACTTGACATCAGATTAAGCTTGGCGCCCGATTAGGCCTAACCCACATCACATGACCATGCAACCATGCGGGTTGCTCAATTAGGCCTAATCCATATCACATGACCACATGACCATGCAGGTGGTTATAATCCACACAGGCCCTCAGCACCCCCTTTCATCCCATCAAGCTTAGTATTTTGTTATATAGCAGTTAGCAATGCAGAGAGTCTTTCTTCTTATGCAGCTCACATTCGCTCCCTAACAGTAATAATAATTAAAAAAAAATCTAAATTTAATTATTTTTTTAAGAATTTTCTCAAATAGTTCAGTAGAAATATATCACTATAGAATTTGAAAATTGATAATTTTTTATTAAATTTTGTTTGAATAACTCTTGTGACCTCTTTTCAATATATTAAATAATATTTATATTTTATCAAAGAGATGAATACTATAAAATATATTTTTATAACTTAAAATATACTTTTAATATTATAAAATAATTTATAGAATTAGATTCAGTAGCTGTTTTAGTAAAATTAGTAAAAATTATTATTTTTAATTTATCTTTAATTAGATCAAATTATTTTTACTTTACCTTATCATCATAATATTCATTTATAAAAATATACTTTTTAAATTTTATTGACTTTAAAAATAAAACTTTTATAAATTTTTGATATTTTTATAAAAGTATTAACAATATGTTATTGATTTTGATATTTATATTTTAATATAGAAAACTTTACTACTTCTTTAAATTTAATATAGATAAAAGTTTTAAAATTATTTTTATTCTCTTTATTTTTAAAAAAGTTATTTTAGAATTTAATTTTTATTTTTTTAATACTAGAAAAGTAATTATTTTTAATATCTTTATATATATCTAAAGATATTAATTTTTTTCAATTTTTTCTAGCTCTAACTAATTTATTATATTTAATAGTCAAAGTTTCAGATTACAAGAGTTTAAAGTAGTTTGATTAATACTTTTATTATATATTATTTTTTATATTTAATAGTATAATATTAGTTATTTATACTTTTTATATTTTAGTTTAA